CACTTGCAACCTTCCGTGGCCCCCATCCCGCTCACGTGGGTCCTTGCTCCCTCTGTTTCCATACATACGGCTGTCTGGACGTGAGTCCGAGGACCGCTCCAAAGAGCCGTATCTTTGAGAGTCTTCTTAAAGCCTTTTAAATACATTTCAGCTTCCAAATCTATAAAGTAAGCAAAAAAGAAAAAGACAAACCCAGGTCCCGATAAGGGGACCTGACTGCACCTACAGTTTGCCTTTAGTCTCAGCCGTTCAAGGGTGTGTGTTGGTATCTCTCTATGGTTTTAGCTTGCATTTCCTTAACGTGTACCACTGTTGAGTGCTTGGAGATGTGTTTATTGGCTATGTGAATATTTTCCTTTGTCAAGTTTCTGTTCAAGTATTTTGCCCATAGTTTTAATTTGAATTTTTTGTCCTTTATTACGTTATAAGAGTTCTTCTTTTATTCTGGATAAAAATCAGTTGTCCTGATTGTAAATATATTATCCTAACCTGTGGCTTGCTTTTAGTTTGCTTAATGGTGTATTTCATTGAGCTGAAATTTTTAATTTTGATGAAAAGTATATTTCCTTTTATGATTGGTGCTTTCTATGTCTAAGAAATCTGCCAACACGGAGACCATGAAAGTAATCTCCTATATTTTCTTCTAGGAGTTTTATAGTATTAGATTTTATGATCCATTTAGTGGATATTTTCATTATGATACAAGATAGAGCTCAGAATTCACTTCTTTCCAAGATGGTGTACAGGTTTTCAGCACTGTTTGTTAAAAAGACTTTCTTTCACCTCAGTGTATGACTTTGAGATCCTTGTTGAAAATTGGTTGATCACACAGGTATGATTCCATTTCTGAACCCTCCATGTTGTTCCATTTTTCTATCTTTATGTCGTTACCAAATTGTGTTTGTTCTTCATTATCAATATTGTCAACCAATGGGATCTCATCCGTTTCCAGGAGACGGCTTCTGCCCCTGAAAATGCTTCCCCACGTGCTCCAGAAATACATGAAATCACATCAACTCGGGCCAGAGCCACTTATTTTGCAGTGAGCAATGAGGTTTATAACACAAATGCCCTGGGTCATTCCAAGTAATTCATTAAAAACACCGTTAATATGATGGATGGTGACCAGAACTTCCCTAGAAACAACCCCTGATTGGAGGCCACCCCAGGTGCTCTCCTCACAGGGGCCAGCCCAGGTCAGTGCATCTCACTCAGGCCAACATCCAGCTGGTTCGCAGGGCCCCTGGGCCCGAGCCGAGAGCCACAGACACAGCTGCGCGGCAGGGAGCACCCAGCCCTTCCAGCCGCTTTCCCTGGAGGAAGACCCTCTCCTTCTGACTCTCCAGTGAGAGGCTGGGAGTCCTGTTAACCAGCTGCTTTCAGCGGACCCAAACCAGAGCTGCGAGAAAGAAAAGCAGGGCCTCTATTTTCCATCAATAAGTAACCGGCATGAAACCAGGTTTTCAAAGGTGACCGTGAGGAACACAAAGACCAGAACCAGTTGGCTACTGGGGCTCTGCTCACCTGGAGCCCGTAGAATTCGATACCAAACTGACAGGCACATACCAAGGAAACAGCTACCGAAAAAGTCATCGACAGCAAATAATTTTTTTTAGAATTTTTCTAAATAGAAAACGTAATTCCTCACCCTTTTTCCTAATGACCTTCTAAAGACTCGGTCTCGGTCCAGTGGTTAGGACTCTGCACTTTCGCTGCCAAGGGTGCAGGTTTGATCCCTGGTTGGGGAACGAAGATCCCACAAGCCGTGCGCTGAGGCCAAAAATTTATAAATAAATAAATAGACTCGGTCTGTCCTTTCTTAAGAACAATTGTTTCTCAGTCAGAGGGCATGGGCCTTCAGGGTTAAACATTTCTCTTTCATGAAGTTTCGTGGCAGGAGATGGTAGTTGGAGTTTCATGTGGGCTGACTCAGCAGCTTTGGTGCTTCCTGCCTGGTTTGTCAAGCCGGCCCGTGAAATCCAAAATCCACCAAGGAGTGGATGGGGCAAGAAGGGATAGGGTTCACAGAAAAACCACAGGATGTCCAGTCAAACTTGAATTCTTTTTTATTTTTTAAATTGTAGTAAAGCATGCATAACATAAAATGTGCCATATTCACCATTTTGAAGCATGTAGTTCAGTGACATTAAGTACATTTGTATTGTTGTGCAACCATCACCACATCTGTGTCCAGAACTTTCTTATTTCCTCAAACTGAAACTCTGTCTTCACTAAACAGCTCTCCCCCTCTCCATCCCACAGCCCCTGGGAACCACCATCCTCCTTTCTGTGTCTATAATTTCTACCTCTCTAGGGACCTCATCTACGTGGATCATACAGCATTTGTCTTTTTGTGCCTGGCTTATTGAGTTTAGTATAATGTCTTGAAGGTTCATCCGTGTTGTAGCCTGTGTCAGAATTCCCTTCTGGGAACTTTTAAGGACAAATAATATTTCCTTGTGTGTACAGACCACATTCTTTATCCATCCATCCATCCGTGGACACTTGGGTTGCTTCCACATTTGGCTATTGAGAATCATGCTACTGTGAATGTGGGAGTACAAATAACTCTTTGAGTCCCTACTTTCAGTTCTTTTTGGGTCTATACCCAGAGCGGAGTTGCAGGTTTCACAGTGGTTGAACGATTTTACATTCCCACCAACAGCACACAAGGGTTACAATTTCCCCACATTCTCACCAACACGTGTTACTTTCTAGGGTTTTTTTTGATAGCAGCCATCCTAATGTGTGTGAGATGGTGTCTCACTATAGTTTTGAGTTGCATTTCCCTAATGATTAATGATGTTGAATATCTTTTCATGTGCTAATGGCCATTTGTATATCTTCTTTGTAGAAATGCTTATTCAAGTCCTTTGCCTTACATTTGAATTTCAGATAAACAATGAATAATTTTTTTAGTGTATGTATGTCCCACGTGATATTAGAGATGTATATACACAGAAAAGTATCTGTTGTGTATTCAAAACTCAATCTTAACCAGGTGTCTTGAACTTTTATTTGACAAATCTGGCCACCCTAGAAATCGAGAACTCTGATGGATGGAAAACAATCTTTAAGTATTTCACAGGTTGGCTAAGGTGAGCTCTGAATTGTTTTAGTGTGTTTTTGTGGGTGTCTGGCTGGTAGCCCTGCTTTATTAGAAGATTGTAATTTCATTTTGAGATGCTCGAGACTAAATCATTTGAGCTTCACACTCTTTCTGGGACATTATTGGGCTCCCTTAATGAAATTATAACTCAAGCAAGAGATTTCATTCTCGCGTAGTAAATTAGCTCAGCCATGAGGGCCTGGGGAACTGGGCCTTCCCTGGGTTTATTCTTCGTGTTCGGCAGAATGAAGAGGTAGCAGGCCTTCTGTATTTGAGTTATTTATTGCTCTCCCAGTGAACATTGTATTGTTGCTCGTCCCTAACGGAAACAACAGCTGTTAACAGGCACATGAATGAATTTCAGTGTGAACTCCCCTGGCCTCTGGAAAGCTCAGCTAAAGAGAAAACAGGCTCAGAATTGAAAGAAAAAGAGTAAGTTTCAGGCCTGAGTCTGGACACCTGGAGGCTGACTGCATAATAAACCGTCAGTTGACGTTTCCAGGAGAGATCACACTTAGATGAGCCCAAAACCGGAGCTCCTTTCCTACGACAGAAGCAGACAAAGGCAGCATGATGCACGGAGCATGTTAAAGTGTCCCTGACGAGGGACCCTGGACAACCCGGCCAAAGGCAGGGCAAGGGCAACCCCATGGCGACCCTGTGACACACTGGATGAGCAACAGGGATCCTGCCTTCTGCAGTTTTCTAAACATAGTCAAGGTTCACATGGAAAGTCACGAAGCTACAGCCTCAAGGGGACAGAGCCATGAGGGGCAGGGGTCTGAGCACAGCGGCTCTGGGGGTGTCAGGGCTGAGTTCTCCTGTGGACTCACTTCTGGTTGGGGTTAAGGTTAGGGTTAGGGGTTAGGGGTTATGGTTAAGGTTAGGGTTAGGGGTTAGGGATTAGGGTTAGGGTTAGGGGTTAGGGATTAGGGTTAGGGTTAGGATTAGGGTTAGGGTTAGGGGTTAGGGGTTAGGGTTAGGGGTTAGGGTTTGGGTTAGGGGTTAGGGGTTAGGGTTATGGTTAGGGGTTAGGGTTAGGGGTTAGGGCTTAGGGTTAGGGTTAGGGCTCTGATATAAGGAGCTTTCCTTCTGGTCCCTTCAGTAGTCATTCTTTCATTTCTCCCAGTTGGGCTTCAACCCACCTGTCCTTCGTCTCTGTTCAGAGGGAAATAGCTGAGCCCATTGGTCCCAAGTGCCACCTCCTCTCGGGTCCGAGTTCCCCTCTGCGCTGTGCTCAGGAGGTCTGCAGCTGGGACCACCCCCGGGGCTGCAGGCAGGGGGTCCCTGGGCTCCTCTCCCACTTCAGTTACCGCCCCCACTTCAGGGGAACCTCTAGGGCCCCTGTCCGTTTCCTCGTCCTTTCAGTCTACTTTTGCTCAAACAAAGAGTAACTATATTTTACAGGTTCCATAAGTCCTTTTTTTTCCATGCCCTCAAGCACACAAACACGTTCTCCACTACTGGGGAGAAATAGTCTTGGCTCTGTTTGCAGGACTCTCATTTCATTGAGGCATTTCTTCACTGGCCTTAGCTCCTCTCTGTGAAATGTCCTTTGTCTGCAGGCCCTGCCCACCCAGCTCCCTGCAGGCTCAGTCTAGGGGGCTGCCCTGCAGATGGTGACTTCCAGTTTTGAGGGACATGGAGATGCCAAAAATAAGAAAAGAAGAAAGATGGAAATCATAAAGTTTAAAATTGAATGGAGAGGGGAATTTGATAAAATGCTGTCAGAAATTCAATAAAAGACTGAACCAGAATGAAGTGGCTAAAACCAAAAATGACCTTTCAACCTCCCATGTCCAAACCCTCAGTAATAAGGACATATGAAAGCACTGAGTTTTTCTGAAACTCGATGTCAAAAGTGCATTTCCTGTCCTTCTTTTCTTTCCAGACAAAGTGAGCACGCTCTCCGCCTTCATCGCTTCCTTCAAGCACCTGAGCCCCGGGGCCGCACACACGGAGGATGAGGACAACCTCAGTAAGCAGAGCCCCTTCCCCGAGAGCCAGGTCCCAGTCCCACGTACAGAGGGTGGACCCCAAAGGCTGAGACCCTTGGGGTGGTGGGGGGCACCACCTGGGCTTCCCAGAGCAGGAGGACCTGCTCCCACCCCCCGGGATCCCTTCCCCGCCTGGAATCCCGTTCCTCCCTCCCCAGGATCCCATCCCCGCCTAGGATCCCATCCCCCCTGGTATCCAATCCCCCTTGGAATCCCATCCCCCATTGAATCCCATTTCCCCCCTGGAATCCCATCCTCCCCCCAGGATCCCATCCCCACCTGGAATCCCATCCTCCCCCCGAGATCTCATCGCCCCTG